CCCAAAACCCCAAAACCCCAAAACCCCAAAACCCCAAAACCCCAAAACCCCACTACACCTCATAAATAATTGATCGCTTAATTATGAAATAAACTAATACTGTTTCTAATTTAGATTGTCATCAAACGGATTGTTACTTATTTTTGATAGTTATAGATTACCACACTTTTTTTGGTCATGTATCCTACCTACTGTAAAATCATAATTTTTCTCAGTATAATCCTTTTTCTATAATCATAATGTTTTTTGAATCGTCTAATTAATTGAAATTTTTAAACAAATAATAAAACTTACAAACTCTCATGTCCAAATTTCTTCTGGCTTTAGGAATAACAGCTTAAGGTTCTCTATTAATAACCTATTTCTCTGAAAATTCTTTATAGTAAGAGTCTGGGCCTGGCAAGTTATTTCCTTTGATTCTAAGATTTCTATCAGCCTAAATAATATTTTAGAAATTAAATTTGTGTCTGAATGTTAAATTTTACTTTTGGAAATGAGGGTCTCATAGAAGTTTAGAAAGCAGCTGTACTTTTCAAAGGGTCATAGACTGCTGGACCTGGGCTAGGGGATTAACCATTTAATTGATTATTATCTATTTCTGGATGATAAACTCTTAGTTTATCCCTTTGCTCAGTCCCAAAGGAATTCCTAGTGACTCTGTACATTACATCGTTATTAATAGATTGGTAATTGCTTTTTGATTTTCTCCTATTATAAGCAAGATTGTCTCTGCTCCTGTTTTGCCTGGTTTTCATTTCATCTTCATAATCATAAAATTTACGACTTTTGGAAAAGGTACTTCCTCTCTAAATGGAGATTGAATTGATCTCTTAGAAGCTTGAATGTGGACTAAAATTGAGATTATTGGAAATATTAATCTTACGCTTTCTTTATATATTCCTGAACTGGAAAGATGTCAGGCCGCTCATACTTACTAAACTTGCATACTGGAGATCTTTACTTGACAGTCTCATCAGAAGGACTCACTTCCTTCATTTTTTATCTCATATATATTAAACTCTTTGCCTCCTAAATAAATTAATTCCTGACTGAATTCCTGCTGAATTTATCTGATTATGCATATGAACTTTCATTCTATTGCCGATTTATATTTTAGTGCACTGATTGCTATTTAGGCATTGAATAAGACGGAGAATTTCTAAAGCCCTGAAAATGAGTCTTATGCCCAATATCCAGTGTTTCTCTAATATTGTATTACCCTGGCCCAACTGGATTAAAAAAAGGAGGATCTTTATTAGCTGTAAGCATAGACCTTATATGTGAATTTTCATTAGTTTTCATATAATTTTTGCTATATGCAGATGCAATGCATCCAGCCCCTTTAGATATTATATTGTTTCGGCCTAATTACTCATTTTCATCACCATTTGAGGATTAGATGTTGATAAAGCTCGAACTAAAGCCAGTTTATTTTTAATGATTAATATTCCAATGTGCTTTGCCAACTTTTTTATCTGACATTTTACTGCTAATAATACTTCCAGTATGTTTATGCTTATTGGGTGATTAACGTGAAAACTCAGTGTAGTTAAGATTTACAATTTGATTATTGATAAGTTGAATATTGTGATTATCATGGTTCATTCGCATAGATGAATTGTTGTGATGATTTACAGACCCTGCCATGCTACCAGCTACATTGGTAATTTTAGCTTACGTCTAAGGTCTGTTTAGGTCATTCATTTTTTTCATTTCTCCAATACTATCATCTAAAGTATTGTATTTCATAGTCATTTGAGAGCTTTGTTTAATGTCTTTCTAATGTGATTGTTCAAATGTTTTATTTGTCATCTGGCTTATACTTTGTTTATCTTATTCTCTAGTGGTGTTCTCAAAATTTGATGAAATAGTGATTACTTCCTTATTTAGATGTATTGCTTCAGACTGTTTAATATTAGGTTATTAAGTTGTACTATTCTAAGTTTCTGATATAATAGATTCACTCTAATATTCATCGTTTAAGAACTGCCTTTGTGATTATTAAGCTTTTGAGTACTAAGCAGTCTAGTCTTATTTATTTGACATTATTACTTAAGATAAATAAAATTTTACAATAAAAATAAGATTTTAGCTTCCTAAAATACTTGCAATATAACTTCATATGGGGTTTTGGGGTTTTGGGGTTTTGGGG